TTCAGTTTATAATAAAACCTGTAGAAACTTGAGACTGAAATCAGTTCTTATTTACTTAATTATTTTATTTAGATTCTTACACATTTTACAGATAAAGAGAAGTTAAAATTTGTTTTTGGCTTGAACATCTCAAGAGCACAATCTCTCGTGAGCATTCAACCAAAGATCATCCATTCCATGAGGTGGAGAGATTAGAGACTGGAATGCAGGGACCTGCCCTGGTTTTCAGACAGATGATCCTTGACTAGGGCAAAGTTATTGGAGATGTGATGGAAAACCAATGTAGATTCATGAACCAGTAGCGCCTTGGCCAGGCTAATGCCACTAAGATTAAAGTTGCTTTGTTTCTCTTCAGTTTCCTTAGTATCCTTGGAATTGGAGGAACAAGAGGGAATGCATATAGGAGATGATTGAACCAGGGGAGAAGAAAGGCATCTGCAATGGAACCCCAGCTGCCCCCAACCATGGAGCAAAATCTCTTCCACTAGTTGTTCAGGTTGGTAGCAAACAAGTCTATCATTGGGTACCCCCCTCCCCCCACTGGTGAAAGATTTGGAGAATGTTCTTTCTGATTGACGACCCATGTTGGTCTATGAAATCCCTGCTAAGGGTGTCTGCAATTGTGTTCCTCACTCCTGGAATGTGGAATGCCTTGAGGAAGACATTGTTTTTTATACATAATTCCACAAGTGGATTACTTCCTTGCATAGCTGAGATGATCTTGCACCTCTCTGCCTGTTCAAATAAAACATGGTACTGGCGGTGTCTGTAAGAACATGGATCACATGGTTGTTGACGGAAGACACAAATGTCTCGCAAGTCGAACAAATAGCTCTGCACTCCAGCACATTTATGTGGAGAGAGAACTCCTGGGATGACCAAAGAGCTTGTGCCCAAAGTTGACTGAGGTGGGTCCCCAACCCTTGGTAGACACATTTGTTACCAGGGTCATATTTGTTACCAGGGTCATAGTGTTGATTATAACTTTGATCTGTCCAACTTTAGTTTCAGGCTCAGATGAGAGAACAGCTGCCTGATGACATGCATGCTGTTTTGTATTTGGGGTTGCCTGATGTACTGTAAACTAGCCAATCGTCCAGATAAGGAAATATCTGAACGCCTAAATATTATAGGTGGGCTGCCACCACTGAGATGCACTTGGTGAAGACCCTCGGAGCTGACGACAGCCCAAAAGGGAGCACCATGTGCCAGAACAGTTGTTGTCTGCTATGAATCAAAATAATTTCCTGTAGCCGAGAGGTATTGCCACATGTAAACATCCTGTAAATCTAAGGCACCAGGCCAATCTCTAATCCCCAAGGAAGAAGTGAGGGTGACCATCCTGAACTTTGCTTTCTTGATGATGAAGTTCAGCTTTCTTAGATCTAGAATGGGATGAAGGCCACCAGAAAACTTTGAGACCAGGAAATACCATGAACAGATGACTTTCCCTCTGTGTTGATAAGGGACCTCCCTCTGTCACTCCCAATTCCAGAAGAGACTGTACTTCTTGAAACAAAATGGTCTCATGAGAAGGGACCCTGAAAAGGGACTGGGGTGTGTGTGTGGAAGGGGGAACTCAGAAGAGGGAGATAAACTGGATAACATACAAGTACATAAAAGGTTATCACAAGGAGGGAGAGAAATTGTTCTTCTTAACCTCTGAAGATAGGACAAGAAGCAATGGGCTTAAATTGCAGCAAAGGCGGTTTAGGTTGGACATTAGGAAAATTCCATTCCTAACTGTCAGAGTGGTTCAGCACTCTGGACGAAGCCGACTGGCTACTTCAGGGAGGTCTAAACCTTCTTTTTATAAAGTCTTTTGACCACTACTGGAAAGAGGATCTATAGTAAAGGTGAGATCTAAATTGCTTCCTCTTTGTCACTGACCTTACGGGTCTTGGTCTGTTCTGAGGGAGTCTAGATCCATCTGCTATGGAATGGATATGTGCATAATCACTAAATTAGACAGATAGAACAAAGGGTCCCAAAAATAAGAACTTGTGGGGAAAAAAATCAAACTGCCTGATAGGTTTAATTTCTCAATAAAAAAAACTACATTTGCAACAGATTATATAAATACAAAAGAAAATATTTCCCCTCACTTTTATTACTTATGAATTTAATATTAACAACGATAAATGAGTCTGTATTTTCCATGATATCACAGGGCCCAATCTGATATGGTGTCTCTTGCAAGATGTTAGAGCCCTCAAATGCTCACTGACCACCCATATGCCAATAGGAGTTATGAGTGCTGAGCACCTCCTGTGATTGTGCCCCTATTCAGCAGGATGTTTATTATTGCATTTTCAGTATCAGATGATGTGAAATATGTTTTTCCTGACCATTATTTGACTTTTTTTTATTTTCAATTTGTAGCCAAAGATGTCTTTCTGAAGCTCAAGGAAAATAATTCCAATTTTGCAACCTGTTATTAAAAATTCCAAAACATGTTGTAGATAATGATCTTGTTTAAAAATTGAAAAACTGATTAGAGAACAATTCACTCTAGAAGTAAACAGAAATTGTAATAATGAAGATAATATTTCACACACACAAATATTTTAAGGGAGAACAAACCTTGAAAGCCATCAGGATACACATCGGGAAGAAATTTAGTGCTGACATCCCCCCGAACAAAGCGTGGATGGATTATCACTTCTCGCAGTAAAGCTATATTGTGAGTCACACCTATAAATAAAACATTGACTCAAATCAGATGAATGTGTTAATCACAAGCAATACCAAGAAACAACAAACAAAACCGATTCAGGGGGCTGCTTTTTCCCCTCCGGCTGAATTCCAGTCAAACAATTTGGCAACCATGGCACTGAAAGAACCATTTTTTGAGGAGGGTGGTCCACGTAGCATTCAGACATTGGCTATTCCTGGACGATTCCGTTTAATTAAGACATAAACCTTTGCAATTCTCACCTCTCTGGCAGACTCTGATCCAAAACCTAATGAAGTCAATAAGGGCAAAAAATGACCATAAGGTTTTTGCTTCAGTCCAACCAGATATAGGCAGGACCTAAAGAGAGCTCAGTGAAGTCCCATCAGAGTCTCAGTGCCATACCCACAAGCTCAGCATTTCCCATTAACCATACCCACCTTGCCATTCTTATGTTTTAGAGACATCCTGTTGGGAAAGTTACATAGAAATGAAAACACTGGTCCATTAAAAGATTTTACCTCACACTCTCTATTCAGTTTGAAGCATTTATATAAGATTTTATAACATTTTGTCATTTATAATTCATAAAGGTTATATATAGATCTTACAAAAAAAATTAAGAGACTTCTCTGTGCTTCTTCATACTTGCACATCATCCTCTCTAGAATACAATCTTCATATCCTCTTACTCAACCTTGCCCAGCCAAATCTCTAATCAAGTTTTTTCACTCCCCTGTGCCTTTCCCCATCTGCATTACATGGCACTAATGGCCACAAAAGGTAAAATATTCGTTCTTGGGTTTTGCATTTTCCCTTCTGCTTATCCTATTCTGTCTCTTTCTTCTCCCACCTTTTATTTTATTTTGTCTTTTTTCTCCATTTTACTGCTTTTTGGGGACATTGTGCCAGCAAAGAAGTGGAGCTTTTGATTGCTAGGAGACAGAGAAGGTCAGGATCCCTGGGTGAATTGAACTCCAACATTCCCCACTAAAAACTCTCCACACAACCCTGCTCTCTGTTGCTTCTGACAGTCTCCCACAACAATATAGCTCAGAAGCATGCAAGTTGTATTTTAATACAGTGCTCCCTCAAAACATTCTGCAATAAACCCCATGTACTGGAGGAGTATCTACCACAGAGACAGAGTGAAAAACTGAGTAAACTATTCATTTATTTTCTCATTTAAGCAAAAATCTCTCATATCCACAACCTCTAGGAAAACAAACTTACATTCAACTCCACTTTGCTAGAAACATTTAAAATTTCTTTCACAAAACTATATTGACTATATAAATAGCACAACACGCTGTTAAGTCTATGTGATTTCATTGAAATGTCGGTGGAAGGAGAAGACTTTGTAGAGGTGCATGGAGGGGATGGAGGTAGCAAGAATAAAGCATCCTCCCTGGTGAAACTGCTTATATTTTCCATTCATGCAATTCAGCCATTTCTAAAGTTAAAAAGCTTTCTCTTCTGAGAGCCATCTCTGGAAAGGATAATTTAGGAGTATCCAGAGAGGAGGTAATCTCCATCAAAGATCACTATGCTTACTCTTCCTTTAATTTAGGGAAGGACTTTTAACAAAAGGTTTCCAAGGCTTGGTCTACACTAACCCGCCAAATCGAACTAAGGTACGCAACTTCAGCTACGTGAATAACGTAGTTATAACGTATAAGAATAACGTAGAAAAAGTTCCTAACTGTCAGGGTGGTTAAACACTGGAACAAATTGCCTAGGGAGGTTGTGGAATCTCCGTCTCTGGAGATATTTAAGAGTAGGTTAGATAAATGTCTATCAGGGACGGTCTAGACAGTATTTGGTCCTGCCATGCGGGCAGGGGACTGGACTCGATGACCTCTCGAGGTCCCTTCCAGTCCTATAATCTATGATTCTATGATTCTATGAAGTTCGAAGTACCTTAGTTCGATCTTACCTCGGTCCACACGCGGCAGGCAGGCTCCCCCGTCGACTCCGCGGTACTCCTCTCGCCGAGCTGGAGTACCGCAGTCGACGGCGAGCACTTCCGGGTTCGACTTATCGCGTCCAGACAAGACGCGATAAGTCGAACCCAGAAGTTCGATTGCCAGCCGCCGAACTAGCGGCTGGGTATAGACGTACCCCAAGAGCCATCATGAGCATAACAAAGATCTGGCTAGAGAACAACGTCCCACAGTAAATAATGGCATTTCTTAGAAGTTTATAGAGTTATGTAATTATATGAAGTGCATAACCCATATAATATTAACTGGGCTGGGCACTTTCATTAAGAGTTCTAACATTCAGAGGAAAGCTTCCTAGCTTTGTATTTTAGAGATTGTCACTTAACAGATACATTTTCAGGGATTAGTAGAAACTGCACATCAACCTTGACGACCGCTTAACTGATCTTTCTATTAGCCATAATTAAAAATAATAAAATATGAAATCGCTGTACTATTTGCACCGGAATAGGTAAATATAGTCAAACTTCAGAACTGCGGATCTAACAAACTATTTACATTCTCTTTTTTCTGAAATGGAGATACCGCCACAGCAATACAGTGAATGTTTTTTTTAAATGCACTATTTTTTTCCTTTTTCCTTCTCCAGCTTTAGAAACATGAATAACATTCTTGTTATCTTATGCATAACCCAGTTCACACACTTTTAAAAAACATTTTCCCCTTACAGTCTGCTGCCGGTGTGAATTTTCTAGCTCTCTGTGTGGCCGATACTGAAACCACTTTTAACACATGGAATCTGACTTTGGCCTCATGAAACAATGTTGTAGCTCTAAAGACTAGTTCATGAGCCATTAACCATCACCGTACATCTAGTTCAATTATGAGAATTTGACCATCTGATTAAAAGAAGAAGAGTTTCAAAGCCACCTGGGTGATTAGGTCATCCAAGCTCCTTGGATGTTTACATACATACAACATTCCATTCTTTATACCTCCAACAAACAATTTAGTAAAAACATAGAACTGTTACAGAATATAAATTAATGTAACTTGGGAATACATATAATCTATATTTTGGATACTACAGAGCAGAGCTACCCAAGCATAAGACTAACTATTGACTTTTCCCCTAATTTTCCCACTTGACTAGAAACTGCAGTAAGTTAAAATATGAAAGATTTTCAAGAGCAGCTTCAGAATCGTAATTAAAAACACAGAGTAGCCCTTCTGTGTTCTCTGACTTTGATTGAATGCAAAATGTAATATGTTACAATATGAAACCATATCATCTCATGTTTTTCTTTCCTAAACCGCTATAAGATCCCTGTTGAGATGATGGCTGATGACAGATGACAGAGATCTTGGTGTCTCAATTGATTGCCCCAAAAGACCTGAAATCAAAAACTACCATGAGTATCTTAATTCATTCCAAACCATGTGTGACAGGAAAAAAAATCAAGAGGCTTCTGCAGTGTTTTCAGCTCTAAAAGTCCTTCTATAAGTTCAATAAAAGCAGGCAAGCCTAGGTGTTTCAGAAGCACTATAAGAAGTGTGTTCTACATATGTAAATTAGCATTTTAATATGCAATAGTTTCCTTTCAAAGTACCATGAAAGGCTGTCTATCTGTTCCCAAGATCACTTGTTTAAACAATGAATGGATGGTTGATCTACTCCTTAAAAGTAAGTTTACAGCTTCAATGATGTTCCTAATCACAGACTGAAAAAAATAATAATGTGCCATCCTAAGTCTTCAGAAGTCTAGAAGTTTTAGATTTGCAATTTAGCATGACCTCTGTCAAAGTTCATAAGGTCTCCATCTGTGTGTGAATAACTGCCACGCTACAGAAACGTGGACCCCTAGAACAGCTTGCTCCTGACTACCTGCTGCTTCCCAAACACTGGCCAGACATTAGCCCCCACTCTCACAGGATCAAACAGAGGCCAACAGGCACAGCTTATTTCATGCAAAGTTAGAAACTAAACTGAACTATATTATATCCATTCTGCAACTGACTAATTCTGCCATCAGCCCAGGACTTAAAGGTAAAATAATTTAAAAAAAAATCACATTTTGTAATCTGGAAAACCATGAGATAAAAATCACGAAAATTTAGTTTCATTTTGTTTCCTTCATAAAACAACCTTTTATTTCTCTACCTCTCATTCACATTGTAAAGAGAGTTGCCAGTATACATAAGGATCACAATCACAGCTTTGTTGTTTCTCCTCTCTGACCTCTTGTCTACACTGCAATAAAACACCCCTGGCTGGGTCACGTCAGCTGACTCAAGTCTTGCAATGCTTGGGCTGCAGGGCTATAAAACTGCAATGTAGACATTCAGGTTCAGACTGGAGCCAAGGTTCTGGGACCCTCCCCCTTGTGGGGTCTCAGAGCCCAGGGTCCAGCCCAAGCAACTACACTGCAATTTTATACCTCTGCAACCTGAGCCCCACGAGCCAAATTCAGCTGACCTGGGCCAACTGTGGGTGTTTTAGTGAAGTGTAGACATGCATTGTGAGGTAAAATACAGTAGAGTTTAGTAGTAGTTTCCAACAAGTAGATTTTTCTTCTTTCTTTTTCCTTCTTTCCATCATATTGTCCACTGTAAAGTATTAATGAAACGAAGGATCTTCTTAAGATGTACTTTTAATTCTTTATCTATTATTATCTATCTATTAATTTTGAGACAATATTCCCCAACAGCGGCCTCATAAAAGCATGAGGATTCTTTGGGTCAATGCCCTAAGCTTTTAATTTAAGGAGACCTAACACTATATATAACATCACTTGGGTCCAATTAATTTTGTGATCTGAACCAACTTCCTAATGAATACCTGTGCACATTGCAAAACCAAAACAATTTGGCATAGTTTGATTAGTAATCTTGGTATCCTTGTTTAGGAACAGAAGGCCCAAAATCCACTGTCAGAGTTATATGATGAAACCTGCATATTGCCTGCCTATCTGCACTGTACCTGGTCCAGCTCCATGCTATCTGGAATATGTTCATAGAACAAAACCACAAATACCAGTAAATTCACCCCTTTTTTAATTAATTAAAAAAAAACTACA